ACCTTTTCGCCTTATTTCTATGTTGCTTTGTGTTACTACTTAAGATCGTTCTGCTTTCCGAGTAGCCTAACAAGCAAATGGATTATTAATTGTGATGGAAATTTTTCGAGGAGTGACTGTTTTGCCATGGAAGATACACTGGCAAATGCCAAAATTGGAAAATGGAAAAGAAGAATATTTTGATTTAGCATACTTTGCATTTTATATCCTTGAAGAAAAAAATGACTAGTAATTGAACTGTTCATTAGAATCATTAGCCCGAAAAAAATTCCAGTATTTATGCCATGCTCCATTAAAGAGTAAAGTTTATTCATTGATATTGACGCCACATTGACTGCAAGACTCGAGAAAGGGTTTTTTTATATTAATTACGTTATTTAATGTCCAATTTTATAAATTTATATTAAAACACCAATGTGCTATGGTGTTCAAATTTTTATTTTTTCTTCCAATTTAAGCAAGAGTTAGTTGCAGATTAAATGACTAGACAGGTCAGATTTTCTTACTGCAAGTCTAATTCATTAACGACTAATTTTTTCCAGAATCCATTATCTTGTGATCCACGGTTGATATCTATTCAGGCTCTTATGCACTTGTTTATGGTCTTTCTTGTAACGTTGAAGCAACTTTTGGTTTCGTTCTTTTTAATTTTTTTTTAGCTTTTTAAGCGTATGGAAGAGAATTTCCTCTTATTCCAAGTGCATGACATTCATGGAATTGCTGCCTTGAAAGCTTGCTGTTTTTTCCTTATTTTGCCTTCGTAACTTGAAAATCTTTGATCTTACCTGGGAATGCGTTTATCCAACTCCAGAAGGCTTCTCGCAAAGGATTTTATCCAGAAATTGATATACATGGCCTTCCTCAGGATAGGAATTTGAGACCCCAGCTTCCAAGACAAAAGCAGTGGCTTGTTGGAATTCAGGTTCATTTTGTGGTTCTAATTTTGTTTTTCTCTGGAGAATGAGTAATAAATAGAAGCTTATACATTGTTAGGAGGATACCAATTTTGACACAGTCTAACATTTCAAAGAGGACCTGTGCTAAATATCCGTGATGCGAATTTTGGGGAAAAAGATTGCATGTGATTTTCAACTCATATGTAGTAAGATAATTAGTATGAGTTTCATCAACATAAAATATTGGTTACATTTTCAGTCTCCTGCACATCCGCGAGAAATAATGACGCAGGTTCTTGGAGTTTTGCAAGAACTCAGAGTTAGGTGGAAAAAGATTGGGCACTATAACATGAAGTGCCTCTGGATTCATGGTCTTCAGTACCCCGAGAATATGACCAATAATCATATGAATGCCAGCCATTACCCGGATAATGTGATTCCCACCAATTCTGACGTTTTACAGACTCAGACTGTGGTAAAGTTTGAAATTCAGGTATTATTTGTACACTCTTTTTCACCTTTTATTCTCTGACATGGTATTTTCTTAAGCTCATTTAGACATAAGATGGTAAAAGAAATAGACAAAAAAGAAGAGTTTGAACTTTGAACTCTACTTTTTACATTCTTTATCTCGGTTTTCAGCATGTTCCCCTTTGTCTTTTTCTTCCTGATCTTGCATTAGTATTATGAGCGAGAAGTTGAGTTTTTAAGCTCATATGCCTTTTTTTTCCTAAAAAGGGGATAAAGGATTTTACCCCTTCCCCCAAAAGGATGCTCGAACTCAGATCATTTGCCTGGTAAGGCTTCGCTCTCTTGAGCCGTGTATATCACACAGACAATGATGTATACTTAGAAATATTTAGTTTACAAGAGACCATTTTGATGTTGTCTATTTCGCATGGACACGCAGACACAAAAACATACATGCACAATAGATCCTACCTCTCTCTCTCTCTCTCTACAAGTGAACTCGCAGAGTGTCTTTTTTGTCAGTTTCTTAATCCTTTACTTGTTGCTGTACTTTGCATAAATCTCCAGTCGACTTGCTCATTAGTGTCCATGACAATCTCTCTGCTCTTTGTCATACAGAAGCTGATATGTTAGAAATATGTGTACTTTATAATTTATATAACATCGTTCTTTTTCTAATACTATGTGTGAATTTACCACAGTTGTACAAAACCAGCAACGAGAAGTACCTGCTCGATTTGCAGAGACTTAGTGGCCATCAATTCATCTTCCTGGATTTCTGTGCCATATTTATGATACAGCTCGAGGTTTCTTAGTCATCGGACAGCGAAAACCTGTTTGAATCAGCTTGTAAATATAATTCCCCATCTGTATCCTGCAATCATGTCATCAACTTCTTGTTTGCTTACTTTAGGAGACCGAACAAAGCCTGTGACTGAAGGTTCTGAATTTCCCTCAAATCTTTTCAAACTTCAAAAGAAATCGTGTTAGTTTTAGTAATTTGTGGTTTATTCATGCAGTTGATCCTCTGTATGAATCATCTACAGGATCCATGTTAATGAAAAAAATGATAATTTTGATTATTTGTTCTTGCATGTATACTCATTTTACTTCACCTCTGAGGACTGATAAAAAAAAA